CAGGAAGGACTTCGTGGCGGCGGCGCGGGGGCTGCGCGACAACTGCGAGGCGCATGGGCACAGCGAGAGCTGCTACAAGCTGGGGGCCTACCAGGCCGTCGGCAAAGGTGAGCCGGGGCGGGCAGTCGTGTGGCCGCTTCCTCGCCGTCCCAGTTCCCCGTCGGGGCTCCTTTTCCCGCCTGCACCCTTTCCGGTGCCTCTGAACCCCTGCAGCCCGGGGCCAGCCACACCCGCGCTCGAACCGCTGGTGGCTTGGCCCGGTGGTGAGGATGTCGCGGTTCTTCACTGGAGGCCGGTTTGTGGTGACCACAGCCGACAGCGTGGAGTCCTCCCTGTGCGGGCGCCAGGGTGGGGAGAGCGGCTGATGCCTGTGGGGAAGCACAGCTCCTGCTTTCCAAAGGTGCTGAACATCTGCATTTCCTCCTGACCTTGAAAACCACCTCTCCTGCTTCTTTTATGGTTGCATAATAAAAGCTGGAGAAGGCTGGAAACCCTTAAATTGCTTCCTTCTGAATAATCGACCTTAGGTTAACCACGTATATTATTTTTTTAATCCAGTGCTGAATGATGCTGTGTGTTCTCTTCTTAAAAGTTGTATTTATTCTCATCTCGCTGTTCTTCTTTAGAGAAAGTAAGGAAGAAACAAACGTATAGACTGGTGATGCTGTTTACATGAGTAGGCCCCAAGTCTGCCCAGCGTGTCCGTACTGGTACAGTACTTGGTGGCAGTTCAAACTAGCGAGTCTTCCAAGTGGCAGTACCAGGAAGGGACGTGTTTGCTGGAGTTCAGAACCAGTAACTGTCTCAGAGTACCTATAGGTATACTGGCAAAAACTACTTTGTCTAGTTTAAGCTGTTAAAAAATCCATAGATGTAGTAGTGGAATGAGTGTTTTGTGGGGTTTTTTTGTTGTATTTTGGGTTTTTTTGTCTGGATCACCTGTTGTGATTGCTGGAGAGTGGAGAAGGGTTTCCTAACTTGGAGACATTAGCAAAACCTTTGTAATTGAGACAACAGCAGCATCTCTGAAGTCCTAAATTTTGACTGTACTATCTAAAGTGAGGGATGCTGAATTTTCCGCGGAGCACTGGGAAGCATGCTGCAAAGCAGAGAGCTGCCATCTGGGTTAGCATGTCCTCACAGCAATCTTCTGGCTTCTTGGCTGACAGGTGGACTCGACCCAGATCTGAAAGCTGCCTACAGCTCCTTTCTGAAGTCGTGTGAGAAAGGTGGGAAGAAGTCAATAAATGCGTGTCACAACGTTGGGCTGTTGGCCCACGATGGGAGAGTCAACGATGATAAACCTGACCCCGTTGTCGCTAAAGACTATTACACAAAAGCCTGTGATGGCGATTTTGCTCCCAGCTGCTTCAACCTCAGTGTGCTGTACCTCCAGGGAGCACCCGGCATCCCGAAGGACATGAGCCGTGCTTTGAAGTACTCACTGAAGGGGTGTGAGCTTGGTCACATCTGGGCTTGTGCCAACGCCAGTCGAATGTACAAACTGGGAGATGGCATCGAGAAGAACGATGCTAAGGCAGAGGATTTGAAAAACAGGGCAAAACAGTTGCATAAAGAACAGAAAGAAGCCCCATATTCTTTAACGTTTGGGGAGTAAAACTGTCAGTTGCTGTTACTAAGACAGCAGTTTTAAATGGCAAGAGAAATTGTTGTTTAAATTGTGCACATACGGTTTTCTGTCACGATAAAGAAATACCCTGTATTTGCGTATGCAAATAAACGTATTTTTATGGATGCAACAACCATGACCAGCTCTGCTGTGCCTTTCTGCATTTCTAAGTACACAAGTTCTTACGTGTACTGCTTAGATCCCTCCCCTTCTTTAAGGAAGACAAAACCATCTGGCCTTTCTAAAGTTTGTCCCTGTGTTTCGAGTACGAAATCAGTCTGTACCATCTTTCTTATTTTTTTTTCCCTCCACTGCAAATGTTTATAACTGGGAACTGTATTTCTGCACTGGGTTCATGCTGAGTAGCTTGCTGTCGTGTAAAGGCTTCTGCTCTTCAGAGACTGTTGGGAATCTTGCGTATTTTCTGAGCTAACCTCCTGCTGGAGCAAGCACAGATTTTGGTCTGCTTTCCCATAATGTTTAAGTCTCGCCACTTAAAACAATGCTTATTTTGCTCTCCTTGGCCACAGAAATATTGTCCTCTGCTTGCACTGCCAACTTTGTTAACTGTTAGAAGTTCGTCCAAGCTGCACGTGGATCCTGGACGGTGCCTCTTGCTGTCTGTGACCCTTCCAGGCCCAGAGGGACATTACTGCTTTAGGCCCTGAAAGTGTGAAGCTTTTTCCTGGTCAGCTTAGGTCGAGAAACATTTGAGTCATGTTCAGCTGCTGCCAAGCCCAAACCAGTAATGAGCCTTTATGGCCATGCGTACACAGCAACATCTCTGCAGAGAGATCTTGCAAATTAAATAGGCAGGAGAGAAAGGAACTTAATTAGCTCTGCTGGGCAGATGAGCTACAGGGGCAGAGCTTAAGAGAAGTGCCCCAGACTGTAGACGAAATAAGTAAAAGAGCTAGGAACTGGCCCAGATCTACTGAATTACAGGTAAGTATCCAAGGCAGGAGATTCCCTTTCAGACAAGGCATGTGCACAGGTTTGAAATACCGCTTTTAGCATCTTTCCAGGCAGTTTGTCACTGTGTATCTGGCTGCTACGAGTGCCTGACTGCTTTAGGATTGCTCTCCAGCACGTGATGATTGCCCCTCACTCACACACAAATTGTTTTACTTTCTTGCCAGCCTCTGAAACGCGTTCTTTTTTTTTAATAATACAGATCTAAGGAACAAGGTGCTAACTGAGCAGATTGGTGACTCAAATCCATAGCTTTATCTACATAAATCAGAACTAAGCATACATATTCTGAAACAGCTCAATAAGCAGGACAGTACATGTCGATGTGTTCATGCACTCCCATGATCTTTTACAGTTTTGGTGTGTATGAAAATAAGCAAAGTTTGTGATGCGTGTGTATGTTTTGCTGTAAATTTACTGCTGATTTGGAACACGAATGCTCTCCCTATGGTCTGAATAAAGAGGCAAACTTACTATTGCAGTAAATTAAGTGGGAGAAAGAACAACACTGATTTGGCTATTGCCGCAATTGAAAGCAGAATTGTACCTCATGGTGTGCTGTTTCAGGGAGAACATGTACGAATTAAAACAGTTCTTCCAGCTGTACAGACCCCTTGGAAAGGATCTGCAGACTGCTGGAGCAGAAGCCCGCGGAGGCACGGCGTGGTGGTGAACGGGCGCTCTAACGGCAGATGGCAGCGTAGGAAAACCAGTCCTGCACACTGCGAGGGGAAGGCTCTGAGCAGCAGCCTGAAAAACAATTGCAGTGGTGACAAAAGTGAGATTAATTTTCTCCTAACACAGTTACTGTTTTACGGCGGTTCAAGAAGGCAGAGCTCTTTTAGAGGAACACACTTGGCCCAGTTCTTCGTTAGGTGCTGTTCTGGACAGGGAAAGGTAAGTAAATGCTACCCCTGCAGAGCGTAACAGTGTAGTAATAAAAGTTTGGAAGCCATGTGCTCAGAAGGAAGCAATTAGAGGTGGCTCAAGGCGTTGGAGAACTGGGTGACATTTTAGGCCCCGATCTGTATTTTGAGCTTGCATTGCTCACTGCCTCTGAGATGCTCAACCTGCCGCACTAGAGCAGACTTTCCTCCACAAGCACTAATGACTGTCAGTGATCTCCCAGGGAACCTCCAGTCAACACAGCAAGCAGGCAGATGGGAATATCCTCAATAAACATGACACACTGCAGACAGTTAAAGCCACATATAAAGGGCATCTTGTGAGGAGGGTTTTCTCATAGCACTTGAGAGCACTTGCAGCGTTTAAATGTTAAAAAAATGAACTATTTTCATAAAAGCTGTCAAATGTGTTAGTACAGATAAGTTTGTGAAGTATCATCCAATTTTGTACCACCAGTTGAAAAGGCAAACCCCAATTAAGGAAGACTTCTTATAATAAACACCATCAAGAAGAGTTTTAAGTGTTTTTAAAGAGTTTTAAGTGTTTTTAAGTGTTTAACTGTCTGAACAGTTTGCTGCCTGTATCTTTTTCACACAGATACCAGTGCAGTAACAGATGCATTAGATGGGTAAGGCCCTCTCCTATTTGACTATTTTCCCTCCAGAGTGACAAAGCATCAAAAAATAGATCATATTATAAAAGAGCATATTATAAATTATACGTGGATAATGCAGGCTGTAGCAGAGACTATAGACTCTACTAACAGCAGTCTATTCTCAACCTAGAGATGATGTTCAGGAGACAATCAAAATCCGTTTAAGGATGAAAACTGTACTGCAAATCTTGCCTTATGACCATCTCGCTCTGCTATTATGAGGATATTACCAAAAGGCCGGTATCTTCCTGCTCTCTCTTTTTACCTGATGTTACAAAGGCTAAATTTTATGTTCACTTGGGAAGAAAATTGTTCCTCCAAAGCCTCCAAGGTCATAAAGGAAGAGTGGCAGACATATGGTCATAATAGCATACTTGGAAATATGGGAGACCTGTTGATCTCCTCAGGATCAGTGGATTGTCTAAGAAATACAGGAGTTTCTCTCAGCTTCACAGCTCCTAAACCACCATCTGCTTTCTCTCTCATCTCTATTAGTCTTTATAGCCAACCTTTTCTAACAAAGCAGCAATATACTTCACGAGGACTGGTGGCCAACTAATTAATTAAACAGACCTATGATACAAGGCTTTAAATAATGAAAGCATTTGCTGCAGGATGCTTCCTGCAGCTGTGTCGAGATCGTCAGTGGAGTGCTGCTTTTGTGCCCAGATGCACAAAAAACTGTGCCACATCATGTTCTGTCATTAAATGTCATTTGGATTCATTCTGGACAAAAGATGCCGTCTGGTAAAGAAGCCACACACATAATGTTATAAAAACAGAGACAGTCTCGTTCTGGTGGTTTTGTTTCTGTGTTATCTTGTTCTAAAAGCAGTTTTGCTGCTTGCTCATCTTGTATTCAGCCACCAGTAAGAACTCCTCTCTGCGGTGTTTGTGTGAAGGCAGTTCGTGTAGCTGTACACCCAGACAGTCTCGGAGACTTGGTATGCAGAATTGCTACACCAAGAAGGCAAAATAATACCGAGTTCCTTGTTACAGTACCAACTTTTTGTTCAGTGCAGAAAACAATTCACTCCGTGAGACACAGGAACTCTCCCAAGCAGCTCTTCTCCTTTGGTAGATGGAGGAGGAATTCCTCCTTCCCTTGCGCTTCCCAGCATCTCATCCACCTGACCACAGACTGAGACAGTTCTGCTCAGGGTTGGGCTTTTTTGGGTGTGAAGCGAGGAGGCAGAGGGAGGAAAAGGAGTCATGGCACAGCAAGAAACAGAATAGAAAATAAACAATATATCCAGTTGTATTATTGCAATAATTTGTGCTGGGGAAACACCCAGGGACTCAATTCAAGTCCTGGTATTAGGCCATTACTATGCACCCATAATGACACCCCCAAGCCAGAGACCCACGGTCCAAGATTCAGGTTTGCACAAAGTCCCCAGTACATATTTCAGCATCAAACACTATAAACTGCTCTGATTTCCCAAACACTGTATCAACAATATGGCCAGAATCCACACAAAACAGCCTCCTCCAAGACCCTTAAGACTCTAATTATAATTTCTCTGCAAATTTTCAATGTCTAGTTTCATATGCCATATCTGCAGCCTCCCAGTGCTTCCGTTTTTCAGTATCCACACCTGAAGCAAACACAATAACCACTAATAACACTAATTTCAGACTACATCACATGTCACTAATTTGTCCTTATTGCCTTCTACTCTATTACCAATTGTATATTCATTCCAAATACGCTGGTTTATATTTCCTACATACACACTTTGTTTTACAGTCTTGTTTGTAATACAGTTTTGTAATACAGTCTTATTTGTAACCTTTTTTCCCCATAGATGAACTAGTAAGGAATTTGTGTGATATGGTATTATAAAATTAAGGCCACTTTGGGGTGGTGATTCCAGATGGGGGTTTGTGAACAGCAGAATCATAATGCATGCGTATGCTCCACTTCATGAGTACGGTGGGAGTTCTCCATAAGATCTCATTCTGCCTATGCCAAACTGAAGTGTGGTGCTTTAAACGTATCCTGGAGAGTTTTTCTTACCAACTGAGAGGTTTCTGGTAAAACAGAAGAAAGAAAGAAGATGAAACCCCCGCATGTTGTACAGCAGTTGTCGCCCGCAGCATTCGAGTGCACTTCACCCAGTGAATCACAGGAGTTGCTTTACGGCTCACGGAGCCATCAGAGATGGAGCTGGGGTAAGAAAGTCATCGAAGAAAAATGTTACTTGTTTGCTCATCATGTAATTTCATAACTTGAAGACAAGCCTAACCTGAATTTATGTTAGAAGATCCTTATTCTGACAGTCCTCATTTGATACTTAATGGCCTGGTCTGGGCATTTCAGTGTCTCACAAAAAGCACTGACAAGTGAGCTGATTTCCTTCCAGCTCTCCCGGAACTGGAAGGACGCCACATTCCTATAGAGCTTCCTGCCCAGAAAACTCTCATTGCTTTGCAACAACCTTTCCTGCAAACT